CCTTCCCCTCCCCTCCCCTCCTTTGTTTTTTGTCCTTTTTTTTTGGTCTTTTTGAGGCAGGGTCTCCCTGTAGCCCCGGATGTCCTGGAACTCACTATGTAGACCAGGCTGGCTTTGAACTCAGAGATCCGCCTTCCTCTGCCTCCCGAGGGCTCAGATTAAAGGCATGCACTACTATGCCTGGCTGAAGTTTCCTTTTTCTTTTCATTTATTTTATTTTATATTTTATTTTGTCTTTTTGAGACAGGGTTTCCTTGTAGCCCCAGGCAGCCTGGAATTTGACCAGGCTGGCCTTGATTTCAGAGATCTGCCTGCCTCTGTGTTCTGAGTGCTGGGATTAAAGGTCTGGGCCACCATACTAGGCTCTGAAATTTTCTTTATAAAATAATTTTTATTTATCTGTTTTATTTTATGAGTGTATTGCCTGTATGTATATAAGTGCACCTGTGTCATGCAGTGCCCATGGAGGTCAGAAGAGAGCGTTGGAGCCCCTGGAACTGGAGTTACAGATAGTTGTTAGCTACCATATGGGTGCTGTGAACCAAACCTGTGTCCTTTGGAAGAGCAGCCAGTGCTCTTAACCACTGAGCCATATCTCCAGCTCCATATGAAATTTTCTGTTAGCAGAAGGTTATAAGTCATGTGTTGTCAAAATTGCCCTTGAAAATTCAGAAGGTGACCGAAATTTAATCTGGTCACCTTTTCTTGAAGCATTAATTTGAGCATTAGTTCAAGTAGTTGTCTTATGTAAAAATGTTCAGACATTATCTCAAAGTTGATAGTTTGCTCATGCTGTGATGGGCATGCACAGAAGCTACTGGGGATTTCAATCTTCCTTCACATACTCACTTTGAGAATACAAGTAGTTTCAGTTCTGAAATTGTCCATTATTTTTTGTAAACAGTTATATCTTTTGATGGTAGGCCATGTTGAGGAATTTTTATTTTGGTTACTTGTTTTATTCACATATACAAAAAGCTTATGTTAGAAAGAGAGCAGAGGAGCTGGTGGTGGGACCTGTGGGCTGTGTCTGTCTGTGGTCTCCTGTTGTTCTGGACCCTGGTTTGCAATTGTGGAGTTGTCTGTCAGAAAGACTCCGATAACTTTCTCCCATTGTTCCTCAT